GGGAGCAGAACAGGCAGACCAACGAAGTACACTGCCAGGAGAGGTCTGCCCCGCCATGTGGTCACCTCTGGGGCAGGTGGGAATTGAACTCATGCAGAAGTGGCTTTAGCTTCTTAGTGCTGTGCTTTAACCTGCTACGCCACCAGGGAGGGCCAATTCCCGTTTTTTATCACTCAGCAGTGATGCCTGTAGACTCGAGCAATAGGAGCCCCTGTTTGGTTGCATGTGGAAAAGGCCATCTCTGATCCCTGCAGGAACAGCCCACCCCCCAGAGCGAGGAATCCATGTTTCATGCCCAATGGATACTGCTTCCCCCACTCCCACTTCATCTACTGCAGATGTTCAGGATGTTGCCCCTCTCGGGGAGTATGCACCTGATCCCCGAGGGCCTGACCAAGCAGGGGCAATGCACAAAACATGTGAACAGTGCATGGGAGTGGGGGCCGTGCATGTATATGGAACCATAACCCTAGCACTAGATGTGGGAGCTGGAATGAAGGGAGCAGGTTTTGAGCCAGGCTGACTGACTGCAGGTTGCCAAGTTTTGGTGAAGAACTATGTGGAGTCCAGGGATTCTACATGCAACCCTGGCCTTCTAGGTCATGATGAAGACATGTTTGTCAAAGTACCAGAATAGAATAGATTTAACGTTTTGTTAGTAGGTTTTAAATATTTAGTATGTGGACTTCCATTTTGACCCAGACCCCAGTTAAAGTCAGGGTATGGCTCAATTCCAAGCCAAGATAAGCAAACAACAGACCTGGGCAAATTTCTGCTCATCATATTTTCACACAGGCTGTGAGCTAAGAATGGGTTTTGCCTTTTAACTAGATTTTAAAATCAAAAAAGAAATAATTTATGACATGTGAAAATTACATGAAATTCAAACTTTGGTGCTCAGATATTGCTTTATTGGAAGATATCCATGCTCATTTATGGATTGTGCCTGGCTGCATTCAGGCCATCACAGAGTAATTGTGATTATGAGACTATGGCCCGGAAAGCTGCATTTATATACTATCTGGCCCTTGCAGAAAATGTTTGCCTTCCCTTGTTTTAGAGTAGCAGACAGACATGAGGAAAAAGCAGGTCTCACACGAACCAGTGCCAAGCCACCACCTTCGCTATTTGTAGAATAAATAGATACAGAATGAGGGTTTTTGTTTTTTTTTTTAATTTCTCCATGATTCTAATGAGGCAATAGGTGAAGGGGTTGGGTGTGAAAGGGCCTGACTTTCCCAAATGGGATAAGGCTGCAGGATTTGTGTCTGCTTTTCTTGAGGCATTGAGGAGATGACAGCTTTTGAAGACCAAGGTTGCCAGTTCTCTGATTTGGCTTGGGACTCATTGTCTCACACTGTCGTGTGATTTTCACTGCTCCATTTCATTTGAATCTCTAAATCCTTGAACCGCTGGTTCAGACACATGTCCCTCCTCCCCGGGCACTGTCTGCATCTGTCAGGCAGGCACACCTTGGGCTGTTGTGACGCTGACTTCACCGGGACCCCCGCCGGGTCACTTCTCAGGATGCACTCCGAGAGAGAACCCTCAGCCCATCTTTGCAGCGTGCCCTCCATAATTATTGGTGGTCTCTCAGGGAAGAAGAAAAAAGACAACTCTATCAGAATCCCATTCTCCACCAGCACAGTCAGCACCATCGGCAGAGGCTGGCTCCGGGGCTGCGAGGCTGCTCCGAGCTATTATTGTGTCTGGCTCTCTCTCAGCATGACTCAACACAGACAATATAGCACACCGAGAGCGTGGGGGATGAACAGTAAATACGAGGCCTTGGGTTTTTTTTAATCTTGTCAGTTTTCCCCTGATTTGTGTCCTTTATCCTAGCCTCCTCTGCTGTATAAGCTTCTCAAAGCTAATGCCCATAACGCCACCACCCACTGGTAGCAGCAGGCTGCCGGGCCACTGTGGGGTTCTCATTGCAGAGATTTACAATACCCGCCATTATTCAGCAACTGTACGTGTTAACCTGGTGGCACAGGCCTGCTCCGACACCTTCCCCTCTGGTTTCTCTTTTCTCTGGGGGCCTGTGGCAACCCAAGGAGAGCCGCCCCCTGGCTCTGAGGGCTTGCCCTAGTGAGCATACACCACACACCCCACACTTCCAAAGGGAAGACTGGGCGAAGATGGAACTGAGAATGTCACTTCTAATGCCACATTTAAGAAGCTAAAAATATTTCTCCAAGATATAGCTTTGGCCTCTTGTAGCTAGCAGCCCTCCACCTCCTCTTTTTCATTAAGAGCTCGTGAGATCAGGGGCCTGCCTGGTGTCACAGGGGTTAAGTCTCAGCACTATGAAGCAAGCTGCAGCCGCTGCAGCCTGAGTACAATCCCTGGCCAGGGAGCTGACCCACATGGTGCAGCAGACCTCTCCTGTCTTACTCGCTGCTCCCCTCAGCAGTGTGTTTCGGCAGATCCTTCTGTTCTGCTCCCCACTCTGTCTCTAGTGAATCCTCTCACCCCCTGCACTTCTGGCCTACATCCCAGCTCTTGTATGCATAAAGAATAAAATCTTAAAAAAAAAAAAAAGAGCTCATGGATTAAATCCACCTAGTACAGAGTCACATCTTATGAAAGTTCTCAAATGGGAGCCACCACGGAAGCTGCTGAGCGAGCTCGTGGATGGGCACATGAGCCCTGCAGCTGTCGGATGCGTCCTGGCACACATACATGTTGCTCTCTTAAGACGGCCAGAGGAATGTTATTCTTTTTGACATATTTATAATTGTAATTCATTTCCTGGGTAATTTATGGCTCCCATGTAACTAAGAAATTCGCCTATTATTTCTATCTTGGCTACCAGAGAGTCTGTCTCTGCGTAATCTCCTGTCTCAGACTCCATTTGTGGGGGCAGGGCTGCCTGGCAACTTACATGCCCTTAGCATTGACGGGTTACTGTTTTGGGGGAAGCAGCAGGACAGTTTGGGTAGCTCTCCCGAGCTTTTCTGGGATGGAAGATGCACCAGCTGAGAACACACATTTGGTTTTGCAATGTTAGCTTGTGAAGGGCTTAAAAACTATGAAGTTACTGAAGTTCTAGGAGAGGAACAAAGAAAGGGTCCTCTGAGATAGCTGCTGCTGGTGGCCAGGGTCTGCCTGGAGTCCTGGGTCCTCTTAACCGAGCTGTGAACTTTGATTTTTATCTTCACTGGTAATCATTTTTAAACAACCAAATATTTAAAATTGACGACTGGTATCTGGTATGCACGTTATTAGCAATCTTTTCCATCACGGGCTTTGTTGGGAGTTATGAAGCTGACAGGTCCAACGAGAAGTGGTGACAGATGAGACGGGCCGCCCGAGGTGGCACTGTCACTCCCAGCCTGTGCTCCCATAGTGCCTGAGGAGCAAGTGTGGGAACCCACTGGGAGAGGTCAGGGACATGCACTCAGCTGGACAACAGTAAGCGTCCAGCAGAATGTTGGCTGAAGCTCGGGCTTGTGTGCAGCGCAGCGAATCCTGCCCACCTCCTCGTGTGTGAAAGAGACAAGGTCAGTCAGGTTGTCATTAAACAAAAGCAGGTCATCTCTGGGTGCACAGGACACGTTGTGAAGGTCAAAAAGATGATGGGGGAATCGTGGGCCCTGCAACACATGCATTTGTTTTGCAGTCTCTGTGCCTTTATCAAAATTTGGCATAGCACATGGAGGGAACAGTCGGCTTATCGGACTCCGGGAGCATTCTAGCAACTCACTCCTTCACCCAACGGCATTTTGTTCTGGGGCTCTTATTTCATACTTTAAGATTGGCTGTTTCTTTGACACTGTCTTTGGTGGTGTATGTCAAGCACCAGGAAGAGGTACTGAGAGAATGTACAGAGGTTCTGCTATACTTTATTCCATATCATGTTACAAGAAAACGACAGTAACAGCTGACAAACCATTACACCTTTTCATAATACAGACAAATTACAATGGTGACAAATATGCAACATGTATTATTCCATTCTCCTATGTGTGGTTTTGAAGTATAATAGTTTTCTGAATGATGCTAGCACATTTCTTAGGTAACAACCCCCTGCTGAAAAGTACGCATTTCAGTGTATCATACAAAAAAAAAAAAAAAAAAAAAATTCAAAATCCACTCCCAACTAGAGAATGTAGATTTTTGTATGTGCTTCTAAATACGCTGCTGTGGAAGGGGAATGAGAATAGGAGTCTGTTTATTTTATTTGAGATATTTGTTTTGGTTTATGAGGAAACTGCAAGGCAGTATATCATTTCCTCTGCCAACAAGCCAGTAAGAGAGATGGAAACTCTGCACAATTATGCAGCATATTCCTATGTATAGGGGCAGGCCATAAGCTACCCCAGTTATGTACAACCTAAACATCCTCTTATATAACAAAGATTACAAAACCAGTCCTATTCACAGATGAGTATCTCGTTGACGCATAAGCTAGGGTATTGATTCCGTCGGCTGTCATACACTGAAGGTAGGGTACCTTCAGGCCTTGCTTCCCCTGCAAGCCCTGGAAATTCCCCATCACTCTTGGGAGGTAGAAATAGTTCTCACCCTGTATCAGTAGATGGACAGCTACCCCAGCCTTATGCCCTGTTTTTTTTTTTTTTTCTTCTGAGCACTGCAAACATTTTATTCCTGTCCTATGTGTTTTTAAGCCCACCTAACGGTTCCTTTGAGAAAATGGAAATGAGTCCCACATTTCCTTTCAGAATACTGTGTGCAGTGATTCTGCATCGAGACGATCACCATGCTGATGTGTTCATACCCCTCCAGCTGTTAGAATGCAAGCTACTCCTTCATATAAAAATAATCTCACAAAACATTCCAGTGCTTTCTCTATAGAATAATAAATCTGCTAGTGAACACAGTCTGTAATGGCTGCCCATAATAAGAGAAGGAAGGGAAAGGAGGGAGGATGTGGTTGTAGATGGGAGAAGGAGTGAGAGAGTGAGAGAAACCAAACTTTGAACTTCCTGTCCCAGTGGCAAGGGTGGGGAACTAAGGCCCCTTCCCCACCCACCCCCCCCCAAGTTTCTGAGATGCCTGTCTCTGTGCTAAGACAGATCTTGGGATATGGGGTTTCATATCCCAAGAGAAGCTGCCTGTGATGGTGCATGTATTCTCAAAGATATTAATATTCCTAATTTAAGTCTTCTTACATTAAGTACCTTCAAATTTTCAAGCCAGAAAATTTATTAATAGCAAGATTTAGTCATTGGTTGCTCTTGGTTTAAATTTCATACAATACAGAAGTTATGGCTCTCCCCTAATAATTTGAAACAAATCAGAAGAACGACTGTGTTCGATTGCTTGTAAAGTTTTCTCTATTCAAGAAGTATTAATTTAAGTACATGTTAAGTCAAAATACCCCTAGAGACTTCTGCTAGGTTGGAATGTATGAAAGAAGAATGAGGAAGATTTCTAGGTAGCAAAGAGTAAACATTCTAGTGTTGTAACTTTTGTTCTTGAAAGTCAACAGTTCCTCAGTTGAAGCATACAGGGAGTGCTACTTCTGAACAGGGTGGGTTGTGACTGACACCCATCTCACACCCCGCTCCAGAGAAGGGACCATTGTAATGTTTACGAATTCGGGGTCCAATTACCTAGCTACACTGGGGTTGACTACAGAAAAGCTTTCCCTACACCTGGCCCCGGGAGAAAGTCTTCATGAAACTGGCTCATAATTCCTAGCCTTGATCCTAAAAGTGCCATGCATTTTAAGCTCTTAGTCTCTCCTTTCTGACTAATGAGAAAATGTGAAATGATGTACACGAAGGTGTCTCCCTTGGAATTTGAGTCCCCAGGGCTAGTTTCAGGGTTAGATGCATTTCCTACCTGTCCCCATGGCCTCAGCGGTACTTGGGATTCTGGAGCGAGGTGTGCTCCATTCGATGGCCTGCAGCAAGCAGCCAATTCTCCTCTGGGTCACACATAATGTGTGCCTGATCCTATTCCCTCGTCGTCACATACTCACCTTCATCCTTCAAGTTCCCTCAACTCCTGACACAAGAGAAGCAGAGACTTTCATTTCCCCTTTTCCACCTCTAAAGCAAGACTCCTGCCTTGTCTTTAAAACCTGCATTCGATCAGTTATTCCAGGACTGTCTGTGGCCCCCAAGGATGGCTTCCAATCCACTTGGAATGTTTAAAAAAAATGGAATTTCTAATTGCTTTGGCATAAATGAACAAATTTTAACTCTTGATAACTTTATAATTTGCTTTTAAAATCTTAACTAGAAAGATGGTGTTCAGGGCTCATCCGGCAGAAACAATCTTTTGCATCCAAGTTTCAAACCTTCGGTTCCTCATTCTTTTTTCCACTGAGAAAATACTCACAAAGTACAACAGAGTGAATGGAAAAAATAAGATGTTGACAAGACCCCAAAAACATATAAAAAGTTACCTCAGTTTCTAGAGGTTGAATGTAAGCAATTTATCCCTGTCTTTGTTCTCAATGCCTGATGCTTGCTTCTTCACTTCCAACCTACTTGGCAAACAGTCATGCTCTGTGGCTTGAAAATGCTAAGCAGAGTCTGATATCCTATATAAATGTGCAGTTATTTCAAGAAAACACACACACACACACACATTTGTAAATGTCCTCAAAAGTAAGTGACAAGTGGGGTCCCACAGCCAGGGACCAAGTTGTCAAGTAAGAGAGAGAACATGGGTTTGCTTTAGCTGAAAATTTCCTCCCTGGTAGTGGCAAAATGTGCACTGCTCTCAAAGAAAATACACGTTGCTTTATGCCACTATGCGGCTTTCAAGTACAGACATTACTGAGGAAGTGTGAACACCAAATGTGTTGTCTTAATGTATTTAAGACATGGCTGGTGAAAGCATAAAAATCTTTACAGAGACGCTGTGCTGCAGAGGGAAATCAAACAAAATCAAACACAAAAGACTGAAAAGAATACATGCCATGTATCAGTAAGCAAAGCTTAATCTTCACATAGTTCTTGGAAATCACAAGGTATCCAAATGCGTGCAAGGTTTTAAATAAATTGCAGAGAAAACAGGGTCTTGCCAGCTTCAATTTTCTTGTAAGAGAAATCCGCCACAGGGAGTGAAAGGAGACTGATCCATGATTCCCTTCGTATTATTGGCCACTTCATTAATGTTTTTTTTTTTTTTTTCTTCCCAGGATGATGACAACTTAATCCTGGAAGGAGGAAAAGAGAAAATTGTTATGTATATACATGTGTGTGTGTGCATACTTACATCATTCATTTCCCCCTAAATTACATGAGACATCAAAATTGGTCAGGCCAAAGTGAGTTTCTCTGTTTTCTCCACAGCCACCTTCTGCACATACCGCCCAGGCAGAACATTCTCCCTAACCATAACAGTGTTTGTAATATGATAAACAAATGTTCTGACTGCATCTCTCCCTTGGCCCCCTTAAAATAATTCAGCTCTATGAATTGAAATGGCCTAGTCTCCTCTTGGATTATTTAGAGAAAAGGAAATTCAGAAAATTTCCTTCTCCAAATCATTAGTAGTAATACTGGTCTTAATTAAGTGCCTGTAGCATCATACAGACCACTAGTGTTCATTTTTATGAACATGAAATAGAAAAATGGATCACATACATAATTTTTTAAGAAAATCCAGCTGTATGTAATTCCTTGGTTGCCTATTATCAGACTTAGTTTCAGCAGAATGAAAACTGGCTAGCATGACCTGAATTACCAGCCTCTTCCTGACATCCTGAACACAATTGTGTTTTCAATGATGCCTGCTTACACACAGTAACGACTTCCATGTGAACAGCTCAAGAAAAAGAAGGAACATTCATTCTGCTCCTATCTACATTTTTCTTTTGGCCCTTCGGCATTTTTATTCAGTCTTCAGGATAGGAAAAGAATGTCTTGCCAGGAAGGGTGACAAAAACCGCTCCCAGCAAGTCACACAGCCAGAGATTTGATTCACCAGTTCCCACTGGGTCTCAGAATCAATTCATCATCTCAGTTTAGTGGATCGAGATCACAGAGGCCAGGGCAGGCCTGCTGGCCCGCTTTCACAAGGCTATATTCTGTCTTCTTTCTGGGCACAGATGGGACCTTGGCCTTGTGTTAAGACTTCGAAGTACTGTCGCCCTAATGACTCAGGCAGGCTGCAGGCAGTAGAGACTCTACCCCTGCAAGGCACTGTCTAGACCAGGGGGCAGAAAGCTCCAATCTTACATATAAGAACCATGAAGATTGCATCCATCCTCTTCACTCTTTACTCATTTCCCCAAACTTAGTGTGAAGATCTTTTTGAAGGTTAGTCCTTCAATTTTTTATTTTAAAAATTGGGACAAAACTCATGTAACACAAAATTAACCATTTTAAAGCATGCAGTTTAGTGGTATTTAGAACATTCATGATGTGCTGTAACTGTCACAGTTTTGCCACTCCCAAGAGACCCTGAACCCTTTCATCAGTCACATTCTATATCCTTGCCACTGTTCCTGGCAACTACTAATCTGCTTTCTGTCTCTATGTATTTATCTATTTTGGATATTTTATATAATTAAAGCCACAGACTATGTGACTTGTTGCATCTGATTTCCTTTACTTAACATAATATTTTTAGCACTTTTTCTTTTTCCTTCCCAGGATAATGACAACTTACAGAGGAAGGAGGAAAACAGAAAATTCTTCATTTTTTTTTAAAAAGATTTATTTATGTATACAGAACTGGGGTACAGGCCAGAGGTGCAGGGGCGGTAAGAGGATTCACCAGAGACAGAGTGGGGAACAGAACAGGCAGATTAATGAAGTACACTGCTGAGGGGAGCAGCAGGCAGCAGGAGAGGTCTGCTGTGCCATGTGGATCACCTCCAGGGCTGGGATCAACCTCATGCTGAAGTGGCTTTAGCTTCTGTGCTTTAACCCACTGCACCACCAGGGAGAGCCCCTTCTTCATTCTTTTTAATGGCCGAATAATATTCCAGTGTACAAATACATCACATTTTATTATCTATTCATGAGGTAATATAAATTTAAGTTGTTTTCACCTCCTGGCTTCAGTGAATAGTGCTGCTATGAACATGTTTATGCAAGTATTTGTTTGAACATCCATTTTCAATTATCAGTGATGAGTCAAATGTAAACAAAAGTCTCAACCTTTTGTTAGTGAGAGAAACATGGGGGTGGATGGAGAGGCCTGGGGGTGGAAGGGTATCATACAAAATCCCTTTCACCACAAAATCCAAACTCCTCGATGTTACCACAAATATTTGCTGCGGTGTCACAGTTCTTTATGTGGCTAACTTGGCCACCCTTAACTCTGGTCCTTCATCAAATCTCTTCTTATTTTTAAAAAATTTATTTATGCATAGAAGAACTGGAGTGCAAGCCAGAAGTGTGTGTGGGGAGGAGGGTGAGACAACCATGGGCAGAATGTGTAGCAGAATGGGTGGATCTACTGAAATACTGCTAAGGGGAGCAGCGTGTGAGACAGGAGAAGTCTGCTGCACCACGTGGGTTAGCTGGAGATGGAACTCAGGCTGTTTTGATGATAGTGCTGAGATTTAACCCTTAGGCCACCAGGGATGTCCTCAAATCTCTTTTTAAATACGTTACCACCCTAGCAAAAATAATTACATGGGAACAAACCCCTGAGCAGCCACCCTTTTTCCGGGGAAATAAAGAAATCCACCTTTCACTCCACCTGCTCCTCCCACACATTCATGCATTCTGATCTAGGCACTGACATCTCTTCTGAGGCCCACCACCACAAGAAGAGGGTGTATTTGTCCCCACGGCATTTTAAGCACACTCATTTGCAGGCATCGTTAGCTAGTCCCCAGTCCCATTACCAATCTTGACATTTTTATTAAGCAGGAAACAAAAATGCCCTTTCTCTTCCATGTCACTTAGACAGTGGTTGAGATTCCAGCTTTTCCAGAAGCCTATCCAGCATGGCCACAAGGAGCTGTGGGTTGGTGCTGATACCTGGCATGTCTAGGCATGGAGTTCTTACAGCCACACCCCGATGACGTGGTCACCACCTGGCTCTCTTCTGCTCACCACTTTAATCAACAGAATGCAGACCTGGTGCACAGGCTGATTTCCTAGTCCAGAACCAGGAACTCCTCAGAGTGCCACCACTCCCCCCCACCTCCAAGCTGCATGGCCACTCTCCATGAAGGAGGATGGAAGCAGCAGGAAGCATCATCACGTTCTTGATTAACTTTGTTTATGTCGACCATGCTGTCCCTACAGCATATCCAACACTTGACCCAGGTACTCAGTACATAGCTGCTGAGTGACTAGGGAGGGGAGAGCTAGAAACTGAGCACTGGAGAGCAAGTGTGTGTTTGCTGACTTATAGTCCCTCATGGCACAGTGACTGAGCACAGAACTCTGTGGAAGAAGACAGTGCCAAGTATAGACAGCCCACCACAGAAATGCCATGAGCTGAGGAAGGTGGCAGGTGTGAACATCTTCTCATTGAGCTTTACTTTTTTTAGTCCATAGATTTCTACTGAAAAGGAATGATTTGATTTGCAGTGTATTTCATGTAACAATAAACTCCGTGGCTACCACGGTCCTGTATGTTATCACCCCTACCATTCCCTCCCGTTCTTTTAGCCATTGATGGTGTTGGCTGTTGCTTTCATCCTGACTCTTTGAATTTAATCTTGAGGGGAATCACATGTACCTAACCCAGGGAATAAGCAAATTAGGTAATAAAAAATAACACAAAATAGTGGTAATTGGAGTGTAAACAGTGAGCAGGGATTAGAAATCTATTACTTAGCTTTGCACTCAGACATGTAAGTGAAGGAGCCAACGATAAAGGCAGGGACATGTCTCTGAGACACTATAGCTCAGACTGCCCAGCCTGATGTTACACATCAGCACCATGGTGTCCCCTCTCCCTCATGGGCGGCATTAGCATCAGTTTCCAAGGACTCCATAGAAGGGAGGTCAGTTTACTGCAGAAAAAAATTCTTAAAATCAAAATGCAATCATCTTTTGGGGGAGGATGTAGGTGGAAGAAGAGTGGGTATGTGACACGCATAGGGAAGCAAAATGTAATAGTAATGTAATCCTTCCATTACATTTGATTATTAAGATATTCTGTTATCCACAATAGATATGAAAGCTGAACAGGAACAGTGAGCTTAACTATGTGCACATCAGCTCATAGGTAGATAAATCGTGTGATTAATGGGTGCCATTTTGATCTCACTTTCTGCCTTTGCAGTGTTCTTTCTCCAGAAATGAATGCTTTAAATAAGAAATTGGATTTTATTGATAAAATCCTTATTCAGAAATATCTACATAGAGCTTCTCAGCTATAAATATTAATTAATTGGATCTCTGGTACCCATAATGCAACTTTGTTCTGACCCATGTGCCCTATGAACTAGATATTTTTTTGGATTCAATTTTCTTAAAACCAACTGTCAGCATCATGTGATGGAGGAGATGAAAAATGAAAATGAGCAGTCCCGCTGTGCAGGTGGGTGACCTGTGGGAGAGAGTCTGCCTGGTAGGATTTTTACACGAACCATCAGACACAGACCAATTGATTAGATCATCTCATACCCGCCACCAACTAGGCTCAAGAGACTAATTAGAGAGAGTACTGCCTGCGCAGGCACCCCATTGACACCTAATTTGCTCAGCCGAAGCCTTTGGGGAAAATGTATTATCTCTGCAGCTGCACTTCATGCATTTCTGATTTGAGGCATAAGCAAGGAGAGCTTCATCACTCTTTGGAGCAAACTGAATGTAGAAGCCCTTAAGTGCTAAATGCAAGCAAACAGACCCAAATTAAAAAACCGGGCCAGGCTCTTCCTAATTCCCTCTGTGCTCCCTGTTAAATCTCCATGTGTACACACACACACACACACACACACACACACACACACACACCCCTCTATAACACATGCAGTTTACACACTGGTGGGACGACACCACGGAGGAACCCAGCTTAGTCTGCGTCTGTATGATCAGATGTCTACGTATTTGCTGGCCTATTTACCCACTCTAAGGCTTTGTGTTTGTTTAATTTGTTTTTTTCCCTGCTGCACTGTAGCTCCATACAGTATGTTTTTTTCTCTAGGAGGACTCCAGCCTATTCCCCCTCCCCCCCCCGCCAAGCCTCACTGGAGAGGGGTGATTATTGTGGTTCCAAATTAGAACAACTGTAGGGTTTTCT